CCACTTAGTGCCTCTTTTTTGCAAACTACAACACCCAAAAGGAGAGAGAGAACAAAAGGGAATGCCCTGCCCACAGAGACAGGGTGGGATGGGGGGTGGGTGGGGGGTGGGAGGGATACTGGGACCCGTGGTGGTGGAGGATGGGCACTGGTGGGGGGATGGGTATTTGATCATTGTATAGTTGAAATCCAAGCACAAAAATTTGTAAGTCTACAACTGTACCTCATGGTGTCTCACTAATAAAAATTAAAAAATAAGGGATTTTATAAAGCAAAACAAGACAGAGGGAGAACAAATATTGGATAATCCCACTCATCTGTGGAATATATAGAGACAAAACAACGATGACAAGGCAGTATCAAACAATATAAAATTCTTGGCTATGGATTACAGAAGTGATAAACAGTGAGAGGGATGTGAGGAGGGAATGAAGATCAGAAGAGATGACATAAAGGCAGTGGTATAAATTCTTGGATACTTTGGTGAAGTACACAGTAACGTTGTACAGCAGTACTATAAACATTAATGTTTTTGTGACCATATTACCTAACTATATTAAGCTATAATAAAAATTTTTTAATAAATAGTGATGTTTAACTTGCTGTATGTATAAATTAAAAACAAAATAATGCCATAATAAGTTATGTACCTTTTTATTGTGTAATTTTGATTATATCACATTTTTATGAACTGGAGCAATAGCATAGTGGCTAGGGCGTTTGCCTTACATGCAGCCAACCTAGGTTTGTTTCCTCTGTTCCTCTCAGAGAGCCCGGCAAGCTACCGAGAGTGTCCCGCCCGCACAGCAGAGCCTGGCAAGCTTCCCGTGCGTATTCAGTATGCCAAAACCAGTAACAGCAAGTCTCACAATGGAGACATTACTGGTGCCCACTCGAGCAAATCAATGAACAACAGGAGGACAGTGCTACAGTGCTACACATTTTTATTTGATTAAATGATAGTTTCCATATTAATGAGTCTGGAATAGTATTGCCATATACCTTACTTAGAAGCTTAAGATTTTTTTCTTTGCTTTTTGCATCACACCCAGCGATGCTCAGGGGTTACTCCTGGCTCTGCACTCAGGAATTACTCCTGGGTGTGCTCAGAGGACCATATGGGATGCTAGGGATTGAACCTGGGTCCGCTGCATGCAAGGCAAATGCCCTATCTGCAGTACTGTCACTCCAGTCCCTGTACTATCATTCTGGCCCCAAGAATTTTCTAAGAAGAGAAAATATCTGATACTAAGTTTAAGGAAAGAACAATTGCTTGAACGGGCCCAGTAACATTGTGAGACTTGTTATTACTGTGTCTTGGTATATTGAATATGTCGGGTAGCTTTCCAGGCTTTGCCATATGGGCGAGATACTCTCGGTAGCTTGCTGGGGTCTCTGAGAGGGGTGGAGGAATCAAACTTGGGTCGGCCTGGTCGGCCGCATGCAAGACAAACGTCCTACCCACTGTGCTATCACTCCAGCCCAAGGAAAGAATAATAAAGCATATAAAATATTTGTTTATATTTTACTATAGTGAAGAATTTATAGATTGATTTGTGAATCTGTATAAAGTTCCTGTTCATGTATTGAAAAGTTTCTCTTTGAATTAGACAAATTTTAAAATCAGGTTTTAAAAAGAAACAGAGGTGAAACTCACAGAATAGAATTAATCATACTAGGGGCTAGAGCAATAGCACAGCGGGTAGGGCATTTGCCTTGCAAGCAGCCAACCCAGGTTCGATTCCCAGCATCCCATATGGTCCCCTGAGCACCGCCAGGAGTAATTCCTGAGTGCAGGCCCAGGAGTAACTCCTGTGCATTGCCAGATGTAACCAAAAAAGCAAAAAAAGAAAAATAGAATTAATCATACTAAACTGTTTTTTCTCAATATTATAAAACTATCTCCTCTAACTCTAAAATTTTTTTCCAAAGTTTATTTTATTTTTATAAGTCGTTCACAATAGTTCATTACATTTAATATTCAGTCACCAATACCACCACCATTGCGCCTCCTCACCACCATATTTTGAATGTTTCCACCCCAGAACCCAAGCTGTGTCCCCCAGAGCAGAACCAAAACAATTAATTTTGTATTGCTTGTTAAGAATAACATGCTAAAAATGGTCCAATCAAGTTTCCTTAGAGGAAAGTGTGTGAAGCTGGTTGTATTTCATTCTGGAGCCATTAAGCCCGTGTATAAGAGATTGCTAACGTGTGTTAAACCCCATCAGATGTTGTGTGCTACGCTATGTATATCAGTGGTGTAGAGTATGAGAGGTTACTCCAGGAATTCTAAAATCTAGAATACAGCAGATTCGCACATGGGTGAAGCCTATGTTTCTCTCTTCTGGGAGCTTTGTTTCTGAGTCTCTGGATCATGACCATTGATAAGGTTATATGGTGCCAGCGACAGTTTGTGGGGGTGACTGCCAAGCTACTGGTAAACTTGGGAGATGGGAGGAGGAGGCCCATTTCTACTCCAAGCGAGCTTAGAGATTTCAGTCATAGGTCCCTCATACCTGGGTTTTTCTGCAGACTCCTCATCCAAGAATGACTGAGCATGGCAGCGATTGGGTTCTAGAGATTTTCGCCTGCCAAGAACTCTGTTGGGCTGGGGAGGGAAACTCTACCTGCCCCCTCTGAATTGCCCTGGTGAAGACAGCCTGGTGTGGGATGTGGACGGCTCTAAAATTTTTACATGATCAACAGACACTATCAGTTTCCCCCTTTCATGGCTCTTGAAAACTACTAATCTGGTTTCTGTATCTACGAATTTGCCCTTTCTCTATATTGCATATAAGTGGAATAAGAGAATTGTGATCTTTTGTGTCTTTATGTGGAAAAACTATATTTTGTTTATGCATGCATCACCTTTGGGACATCTGTGTTGTATCTTTTGGACTGTTGTGATTGGTGAGACCATAATTTTTTTGGCTCTTTGGGTCACACCCACCTGGTGATGCTTAGGGATTACTCCTGCTCTGCACTCAGGAATTACTCCTGGCAGTTTTCAGGGGACGTTACTGGATGTGGATGCCAGGGATTGAACCCTGGTCAGTGTCGGCCATGTGCAAGGCAAATGCCCTATCCATTGTACTATCGTTTCAACCCCAGCCATAAACATCCTTTTCAAAGTTTATTTGAGGTCTGGTTTTCAGATTATTGATGTATATTTCTAGATAACTATATGTTTAACTTTTGAGATGCTTTCAAAATGATTGTTACTAAAACTATAGCTATCCTACTATAGGTGAAGAGGTGTCTCAGGTAAAATGGGTGTCTATGTGTAGTTTCTTTCTGTAACTTGTTGTGTATTAAAAGTAGGTATAATATTGTTAAATTTTATTTAAAATTCAGTAAATGTCCTATATATTAAAAGAGTGTTAAAGTGTTTCAAATGTTTTAAATTTTTTTCCCAAATTATTTTTTGACATTTTAACATTCAGTTGTGTTTAATTAATTTGATGGAAGCAAATGCATACTTACAAGAGGAATGCCTACCATAGAAATTTTTGCTATAGAGGCTTATGACTTTGTGAGCAGGATATCTAGTTTGATACCATGTATAATTAAGATATCCAAACTGAGAAAGATTTTAGGGGTTAAGACTTGTCTTATATGTTGCCAACCTGGGTTTGATCCCTGGCACTGCACATGATCTCCAGACCTTTACAGATATGATCCCTGGATGCAGAGCTAGGAGCAAGTACTTGGGCACTGCAGGGGGTGGCCCCCCAAAACAACAACAAAAATGCTTTTGAGAAGAGTCTTAATTTAAATATACAATGTGCTTGATTTTGAATGAAAAAATTAAGTAAGTGTATTATTACTAATTACTATAGGCAAAGCCTGGCAAGCTCCCCGTGACATATTTGATATGCCAAACACAGTAACAAGAAGTCTCACGATGGAGACATTACTGGGCCCACTCAAGCAAATCGATGAACAGTGGGAGGACAATGCTACTACAGTACTACTATACGGAAATCTCTAGTAAAAAAAATAGCTATTGCAGAGGGTAACTTACTCTGTTGTAGACTTGGTAGGATTTTTTTTTTTGTATGCTGAACTTAAAACTATATTCTTTTAACCAGTGACTGAACACTCTCTAATTGTATCTTGTTGCTCTAACTACAAGTCTGTTCTGCATCAAGGAAACTACCACACCTTTAGTTTTCTCTTGTTTCACATCAGAAGTTCTCTACTCATCACATGTTAGAGTTACCTTCACTCTCTTCACTATTCTTGCTATCTTCTAAATGTATTCTTGTTCCTGACACCATCCTACTGGTCATTTCATATTTCTCTAGGTGTGATCTGATATGGGGAATGAAACATAAAGTGGTTTATATGCTCATAATAGCCCTGTGAGCTAGATATATGAATTCCCAACCTGCATGTGAATAGACTCAGACCAGAGAAGAAATTTTCTCAAAGTGATGAAACCACAGAATTGAATTTCAAACCCAGTTCAGATTTACTTCCTGCAAAGTTATGCTCTTTTCATTAAATAATATCAGCACTGACAAGCCTAATAACTCCCATTTATTGTTTGATAATATACTCAATACCAAGTACTTGAGCTTGTAAGCCTCTCAGAAAAGTTTAAATTAGAGAACATCTCACTAGTAAGATATTTGAACTCAGAAAAGCCAAATTATTTGCTAAAGACCAACAGGTGATATGGATTCAGAATTAAAAACCAATTGTGATTCCACAGATTGTTCTCCTAATTATTATTCTATGTGTGATATTTTATGTTGTAGTTGCTATTTATTTAAATAGGAGCACAGGTTTTTCAGTGTTCTAAATATGTAAAAAATTTTTGATTAAAGTATATGCTTTGTAAGTATCACTGGGTTATTAATATTTTTTTCATTTCTTTGATACAAAAACTGTTGATTTGACTATATTGATACATCATATCCAAAGGATAGTCTTATTTAACAAAATGCTTTTTTTTTAAAGGATGACTATATTTAAATTTTTGTTTTCTTTTAGGTCCACCTCATTCATTTAGTCGAGATGAGACAATAATTATTGCTTTAGCATCAGTCTCTGTGTTAGCTGTTTTGCTAGTTGCCTTATGCTTTGGATACCGAATGCTGACAGGTAAGAAACAAAATGAAACCTACTCTTTACCTATTATATATTAAACAAGCCATTTAACTAGAATTTATTTTCTCCTTTTCAAAAATCTGTGCTTAGAGCATAAAACCTGAGTGGAATTTATGGGTAACTTGAAACCACTAAAACCAAGAGGGTTTGGGTATGTGCCATGAGCTGACAGCCTTCATACTTATTTGTCACCATTAAGGAACTCCATTTACCTGAGCTGTCTCCATTGAGTGAAGAGACACCTTCCTTCCTTTTTTTTTTTTTTGGCGGGTGGACATCTGGCAACACTCAGCATTTAGGGTTCACTTTTGGCTGTGACTGGGGACCACAGTGGGGGTGCAGGTGATCTAACCCAGGTTGGCCATGCACAAGGAAAGCACCCTCTCAGCTCTTCTATTTCTCCAGCTCGAGAGGCTCTATCTTTGAGTGTTCTGTATCAGTAACAGTAATGTGTCACCAGTGGTCATGTCGATTAGTTAAGAAGGAAAGGGAATAAAATTTCCATCCTCAGCCTCCCCCACCCTTTCAAAAAAGTCTCTGTTCTTAGTATAAAAAATCACCTTTGTATTATAGCAGCTCTCATCTTTCTTTTTATTTTAATTTTTGTGCTGCCAGAGATTGAACCCAGTACATTGTCAATGTGAATCATGCACTCTACCACTGTTTTCATCTCAGGCCCCTTCTCATCCTTTCTCATGGAACCTTTTACTTTATTCTAAAGATTCATTTATTGTTTGTTTGTTTGTTTGTTTGGAGACCACAACTGGCAATGTTCAGGGGTTACTCCAAGCTCTGCACTCAGGAATTATTCCTAGCAGTGCTTGGGGGACCATATGGGATGCCAGGGATCAAGGCAAATGCTTTACCTGCTGTACTATCATTCTGATCCCATTTTTACAGAAAGGTTTAAACATTTAAAAAATACCTATCAACCAGCTTCAATAACTATTACATCTACATCCCCTACATGAGAGGTTCACAGTCTTATTTGACCTACCACCCCCTTTTCAGAAAAAAATTATTCAGTGTCCCTTTCAAAATTTTATCTTCTAAGCAAACAAACAGCACCCCCCCCCCCCCCGCCCTCAAAACTCCATGCCAAATGCACACTAGGATAATTTCAGCACCCTCAAGGGAGTAATAGTTCCCATTTGGGAAACATTGTTTACATCCTAGCACAACTCACTACATTCTTCCTTATAGTAATGACAGTAATGCTACCTGATTATTTTGAATCTCAAAATTGTAAGAGTTTAAAAGTATGTTTATAACTACAATACCATTTTTACTTCTAAAAATTTGTCAGTATCATGAAATGTTCTAATGAGTTTCAGGTTCAATGGGCATTTAAGGGAAATCATCTACTCAGTTAATTCATTACAATAACTTTAATAAAACATTCTTTAATGTTTCTGCAGCATCTGTAAGACTATAAACTAGGTCTGTTGCTGAAATTATCTCTTTCCAGTATTCAGCTTTCAGGAGTTTCATCTTTGATCCTCATATATGAATCCCAGTTCAGTAAATAGTTTTTTTCCATGGACATTAGTCATGTCCTTCCCCCAACCCTTTTGTTGCTATTCTTTAGATTATAATGTAATGAAAATTATCAGAGAACTGCACTTTGTAACCTTTTTTTCTCCCCTGTTCCCTTAGGAGACCGGAAACAGGGTCTTCACAGTATGAACATGATGGAGGCAGCAACATCAGAACCCTCTCTTGACTTAGATAATCTGAAACTACTGGAAGTAAGATTCATTGCTTTTATATTGTGGACTATTTTTCCTACTTTTGTAGTTTATTGGGGACAGTGACTTCACTTACTAACACATCAATTCACTTATTCAGTGAACATTTGGCGTTTTTGTGCCAAAGCCCAGTGTAGGCAGGGAGAATATGCATTATCAACATATTCTTTCTGAGGTTTGTGTTCTAGTGGGAGAGAATCTACTCGCAGGTAAATAAATGAATATACATAGTTCCTAGCAGTAAGTGCTATGGAGTAAAATAAAGTAATTAGAGTTAATAAAATAATAAAAGAGGTTATTAAAGAAAATATGTTTAGAAAGGAGGAGATATTTGAGTACAGACAACAGAGTATCCTAATGAAGCTGTGAAATTCTGAGAAGAGTGGTAGGCAAGGCATTCATGATAGATGTCAAATAAATGTTTGAGTTTGAAAATACTATGTTTTTATAAATATCTCTGACTATTATGTAATTTAAATTTATTTGGTAATATTTCAGAATCTATGTTAAAGTCTTACCATAGAGTGTGCCTCTTTGGCTGCATCTACCAGACATGTGTACTTTCTTTCTTTTTTTGGCATATTTCCCTATTATGGGGAAATGACCGGCACATCTGTGCTTAGACTGTGTATTTTGGGCTTTTTCTACTTTGAAGAAACCCATGTTCTCACTTGAGCACGTGTCTCTCTCTCCTTCCCTCCCTATATTTGCCAAAGATATCCTTACTATGGCACAAGAAAGATAATTAAAGGACTAGAGTACATGATAGTTATGTAGAGGACTCAAATCCAATTTCTGACACTTCATGGCTCTCTGACTGCCACCACTGTATAGTATATTCTTATACTATATATGAATACAGTCAGACTATATCTGCCCCTTTCCTTCTGACTCATTTCACTCAGCGTGCTACTCTCTATGTCCATTCATTTATAGACAAATTTCATGACTTCATTTTTCTGACAGCTGCATAGTATTCCACTGTGTAGATGTGCCATAGTTTCTTTATCCATTCATCTTGTTCTCAGGCATTCAGGCACTCAGGCATTCCAGATCCTGGCTATGGTGAATAGTGCTGCAACGAACACATGAGTACAGATGATGTTTCTGCTGTGTGTTTTTGGGCCCCCAGGGTATATTCCCAGAAATGATATTGCTGGGCCAAATGGGAGCTTAATTTCTAGTTTTTGAGAAACATCCATATTGTTTTTCAAAAAGACTGGACCAGTTGACATTCCCACCAATAGTGAAGAAGTATCTCTCTCTCCTCTCCCCACGTCCACACCAACACCAGTTACTTTTGTTTTTGGATGTGTGCCAGTCTCTGTGGTGTGAGATGATATCTCATTGTTGTGTTGATCTGCAATCTCCCTGATGATTAGTGATGAAGAGCATTTTTTCATGTGCCTTTTAGCCATTTGAATTTCTTCTTTGAGAAAGTTTCTGTTCATTTTATCACCCCATTTTCTGGTGGGATTGGATATTTTCTTCTTGTAGAGTTCAACCAGTGACTTGTATGTCCTTGATATTAACCCCTTATCAGAAGGGTATTGGGTGAATATCCTTTTCCATTTCATGGGCTGTCTTTGTATCCTGGTCACTGTTTCTTTTGAGGTGCAGAAGCATCTTAATTTAAGATAGTCCGATTTCTTTCTCTGCTACCACATGCTTGGTCAGAATTAAGAATATTGTTTTATTTTTTAATTTTTTGTTTTTTATTAGTGGAACACAGTTGTAGACATACAAATTTTTGAGCTTGGGTTTCAGTTATACAATGATTGGGTACCCGTCCCTCCACCAGTGCCTATTCTCTACCTCCAATGCTCTCAATATCCCTCCACCCCCCATCCCCCCCATCTCACCCACCCTACCCCTGAGGCAGGGCATTCCCTTTTGTTCTCTCTCTCATTTTGGGTGCTGTGGTTTGCAAAAGAGGCACTGAGTGGCAATCATATTCGGTCTATAGTCTGCTTTCAGCATGCATATCTCATCCTGGGAGGATACTCCAAACACCCTTTACTTAGTGCTCCCTTCTCTGTCTGAGCTGCCTTTTCCCCTAGCATGTGCTGCTGGCCTCCAAGCCATGGAGTGAACCTCCTGGTAATTATCTCAACTATTCTTGGTAATTATCTCAACTATCCTACACTACCTCCACTACCCAGCTGCTGCCACACTCCAGGATGCTTTCCGTACCTGCGTGGCCACAAAGCAACCACGCGACACATTATAAGACACTAAATACCCATTTTGCAGAATTGCCGTATCATATTTGATAGGGTTCAAATATGGTAACACCTACAAGGGCAATTAGAGGTCACCCCAAAAGCCTCCTATCCCCCTTGGGAAGCCTGGCAAGCTACCGAGAATATTCCGCCCGCATGGCAGAGCCTCGCAAGCTATCCATTGTGTATTCGATATGCCAAAACCAGTAATTACAATGGGTCTCATTCCCTTGACCCTGAAGGTGTCACCAATATGGCAGCACTGAGAAGGATGAGAAAGGAGAGGCCGATAAAATCTCAAGGCCTAATTCGGCTGCCACAACGAAGGAAGACAAAAATGATCATCTGTACTTTCAATGCACGTACGCTAGCATCAGATGCATCCATCGAGGACCTGATGGTACAAGCGCGAAAGATCAAGTACGACATCATTGGTCTGACTGAGACAAGAAGGCACCAATCTCATCACGCCGATTTCAACACTGGAGAAGAATTGTTCCTCGGAACATGCGATAAAAGAGGTGTCCTTGTCAACACAAACTTGGCCATGAGCATTGATTCATTCAAATGCCTAACAACCTGAATCGGATGTTTACATTTGAATAGATGTGGCTCACTGCCAGCAGTTTCTATCTTCGTTGTCTACACACCAACATCCAATTATGATGATAACCAAGCTCATTGAGATTTCTGGAGAGTTCAAGATGCCTCTCTGTCTAACATTCATTGATTTAAAGAAGGCCTTTGATTCTGTTGAGATGGAAGCAGTCACTGAAGCCCTAGACAATCAGGGCATTCAAACTCAATACATCAAGATCCTCCATGAGCTGTATTACAGATTCACTACCAGGATCTCACCATTCTACAAAGAAGTAATCATTGATGTCAAGAGAGGGGTTTGGCAGGATGATACCATTTCACCGAAACTCTTCAGTGCCACCCTCGAGAACATCATGTGACGACTGGGAAGGAATGGGAGTGAAGATAGATGGTCGGCAACTACACCAGCTCCTCTTTACTGATGACATTGTTTTAATAACACCAAACATTAGCCAAGCAGCACAAATGCTGGCCGACTTCGACCATGAGTGTGGAAAGGTCGGACTACAGCTGAATCTTACAAAGACAATGTTTATGAGAAACAGTCTCATTCCTAACACCCCATTCACTCTCAAGGGAATGACCATCTCTGAATGCAACAGCTATGTGTACCTAGGTCGAGAAGTCAACATGACAAATGACCTGGCACCCGAGCTGCACAGGAGGAAGAGAGCGGCTTGCAACGCCTTCAAGAGCATTGAAGAAATAGCTAAGAGGACGAAGAACCTCCAGCTCCGGGAACATCTCTTTGATTCCACTGTTCTTCCTGCATTAACATACACCTCAGAGACCTGGGCCCTACGCAAACAGAATAAGAACGCTATTTGTGTCTCCCAAAGAGGAATTGAAAGAGCTTGGAATATCATGTTTCACTCAAATGAGAGAAAGAATCCAGAGTTCCGACGTCTGTTGATGATCAAGAATCAGGGACGCTGTCTCGTTTGCCAAGGTGTCAAAAATCAGATGGGCTGGTCACGTAATGAGATTTAAAGACGACTGCTGGACTAGAACTGTTACCGACTGGATTCCATAAGATGTCAAAAGACCACGTGGCCACCCACCTACCAGATAGTCAGACTTCTTCATCAAGATCATGAACGATCGGTTTGAGGCTCTTCATGTTCCTAGAACGAACAGACGCCATTGGGCTACACTAGCACGCGACAGGGACAAATGGAGGCGTTACTGGCGCCTGCTCGAGCAAATCAACGATTAACGGGAAGTCAAGTGATCAAGTGATTCTTGGCTGTTAGTTTCCTATTTTGTTACTTTATATCCCGCAGATGAATGCAATCTTTCTATGTCTATCCCTCTCTTTCTGACTCATTTCGCTTAGCATGATACTTTCCATGTAGTACCACTTGTATGTGAATTTCATGACTTCATCTTTTCTAACAGCTACATGGTACTCCATTGTGTAGATGTACCAAAGTTTCCTTAACTAGTCATCTGTTCTTGGGCACTTGGGTTTTTTCCAGATTTTGGCTATTGTGAATAAATAGTGCAGCAGTGAACATAGAAGTGCAGATGTCATTTCGACTTTTTTGTCTCTCTGGGATATATTCCCAGGAGTGGTATTGCTGGGTCAAATGGGAGCTCAATTTCTAATTTTTTGAGAATCATCCATACTGTTTTCCAAAAGGGCTGAACCAGTCGGCATTCCCACCAGAAGTGAAGGAGAGTCCCTTTCTCACCACCTCCACGCCAACACTGGTTGCTTTTGTTCTTTTGGATGTGGGCCAGTCTCTGTGGTATGAGATGATATCTCATTGTTTTGATCTGCATCTCCCTGATGATTAGTGATGTAGAGCATTTTCTCATGTGCCTTTTAGCCATTCAGATTTCTTCTTTGGGAAAGTTTTTGTTAACTTCATCACCCCATTTTTTGATGGGGTTAGATGTTTTCTTCTTGTAGAGTTCAACCAGTGCTTTGTATATCCTTGATATCAACCCCTTATCAGATGGGTATTGGGCAAATATCCTTTCCCATTCTCTTGATTGTCTTTGTATTCTGGTCATTTTATCTTTTGAGGTGCAGAAGCTTCTTAGAATTAAGTATATTTTAATCAGCATCTGTGATACACACGGACTGAATTGCTGAAATATAATTTTGACCTTTGTTCTTCATACATTAACAATATTTTTAAGTTGCTTGTTAATAATCATGGTCTATTGTCTCAAACAGTGTGATGATTTATAAAATTACTATATTTCTGAACTATTTTTATCTTATGTAATTACATTAGTATTTCAGTGTTTCACTATTTTTGTCTTGTTTGTAATTGTTACAAGAGGAAATGTTTCAACACCCTAGACCCTTGCTTTGGCATGTGTTAACTAACCTTTTAAAAAATTATTTTTTTCTTTTTTTATTGAATCACTGTTGAGATAGACCCTTACAATGCTATTCATAGAAACATGGGCTAAGAGTACTGGGCAGTGGTTGCAACCAACACAGTTGTGTGTGGGGCAGAGGGTAGGTAAGATAGAGACCAGTATGACAAGAATAGCTGGGAATGATCATGCTGGAGAAGAACTGAGTGTTAAAAGTAGGTAAAGGAATATTCTTAATAACCTTTCGTATCTGAGTATGCAGACCACAATGCCCAAAGGGTGGGGGGAGAGGGGAAAGAGAGAAAGAGAAAGAGAGAGACTAAAAGCCAAAATGGAGAGAATATATTGTAATTTTGGTTCTTTGCATATTGGATAGTTTGTTGTATCCAGATACTATGAATATCATGCTGTGGAGACCTTAAATTCTGTTAGCATCTTCTAAAGTGTGTTGATTTTCATTGTTAATTTTAGTAGGCAGTTAACTTGGTTGGCCACATTAAATCTCAGTTCAGTTATTGTACCTACAGGTAGAATCTTTCTCATGTATTCCATTGCATTTCCCTCTCTTCTTCTGGAATTCATTTCTTATTTTCTAATAGTCATGTTCATGTTGGCCTGAAATTTTTGGTTTTAGATTCCCCAGATCTTCTGGTATCTAGGGTTCAAGAGATTATGGATTGCAATTTTTGCACCATCACACACTGATTTCAGTCTCTTCTTAGGCTAACAGCTATAAATGTGGGTAATTAAGCCCAGATCATACCTTTTTTTTCCCAAATGACTTAGTATAGAATGTACCTCCATTTGTTTTGTTTAATGTACAAATACATTAGATTTCTTTTTGAAAAATTTTTTAAAGTATATAGTAGTATTGGATTTTGGGTTTTTTGGGGGAGAATCATTCCTGGCGGTGCTCAGGGGATCATACTGAGTGCCAGGGATTGAACTGGTTTGGCAGCATGCAAGGCAGTGCCTTACCCACTGTCTTATCTCTTGGGCCCTAAGAGCCTAAGTAGTTATCTCTGGATTTGGTCGAATCAGAGATTCTCGAACCATATAAGATGTAGGCTTTATTATTATCATAATAATGTCATTAAAACTATAAGAATTAAGGAAATAGGGCATGCATATGAATTTATACTTAATTAATTAGTATGATGCTCTTTTTTTATATGAATTAATACCTTGCTTTTTTCAACACAAATTTTTATAGTTGATTGGCCGAGGTCGATATGGAGCAGTATATAAAGGTTCTTTGGATGAGCGTCCAGTTGCTGTAAAAGTATTTTCCTTTGCAAACCGTCAGAATTTTATCAACGAGAAGAACATTTACAGAGTGCCTTTGATGGAACATGACAACATTGCCCGCTTTATAGTTGGAGACGAGAGAGTCACTGCAGATGGACGCATGGAGTATCTGCTTGTGATGGAATATTATCCAAATGTAGGTTCTCCAAAATGTAAACTGATGTTTATATTAACTGACCATCAGACCATCAGGAGGGCCTCTATAATATAATGCATAGTTGCTATGCAGACTGGTTATTAATGTTATGCTGTGAAATAAGGTCCTCACATCAGAATGTGTTGAACCAACTGTGTCACTAGTTAGAGGATTTTGCTTCCCTTTCCCTCCTTGAGGGCTCAGTTTCTTTTATAGTCATATTTTCTTAAAAAAAACTAGTGCCTTGATTGACCTTCTGATATAACCTGCTGTCCCCTACCACTCCCCAACCTTCTCTTCCCCCCTCCAAACACCACTGATAAGTGTCTTATCCCAGAGCATCTTGTAGGTGAGTACTTTGAGTAGCACTGATATGTATATTTACAAAAGTCTTTTGTTTTCTACTTCTTAAACATAATATAAAGAAACTTAGGGAATATCAAATGCCAAAACTGTGTGCTATGATTTTTTAATACAGGAGAATCAATTATAAAATTGTTTTTCTTTTCTCCTTTATTAATTCTCCCTTAAAATTCTGAAAAATAATTAACTAGATTTCTGTGGAATCTTTTTGGAGTTTTACCATCTTGGCATCATACAGGGCTATCAGGTCTACATGCAGCAGTGCTTAGAGGCCCCCAGAGCTACACTGATAGTATTTTGGGGTTATCTAGTGTCAGAGACCCAGTGTAAAGCCTCAAGCATGCAGGGCATGTGCGCTCTCACCATCCTCTTTTTGGGGAACCTTAGCCTATGTAAATCTTTTTAAAGATTGTTTTCACAGCATGTTCGCATAAGTACTATTCTTTATGTGTATGTTTTTTCTCTCTGTAGGGATCTCTGTGCAAGTATTTGAGTCTTCAGACAAGTGATTGGGTAAGCTCTTGCCGTCTGGCTCATTCTGTGACTAGAGGACTTGCTTATCTTCATACAGAATTACCACGAGGAGGTAAGACAATAAGTAGAAGATGAATCACCTTTTTTGGGGGGTAGGGGCAGGGGGGTAGAAAGTATTGAAATATTCACAGTGAAAGTATGTTTTGTATTAAAATAGACTTATTGCTAAACTTGCTAGATCTGACATGGAGAAATGTATTTAAATACAACAGGAAGAGTAAAGAATAGAATTTCAAGATTTAACTGAGAATTTGAGTAAAGTTCTAAATACTGAATGCAGAGAGATACTTCTACCTCTAACTTGGTCTTTTGATTTTAGAACCATGTAGACTATTTGAAGTCCATGTATGGACTTAAATTAATAGCCTTTTAGTTTTTTTTAAATTTCTTTTACTCACTTAAATGAACTACAGTGCGGGGCTGGAGCCATAGCACAGCTGGTAGGGCATTTGCCTTACACGCAGCCAACCCAGATTTTATTCCCAGCATCACATATGGTCCCCTCAGCACCACCAGGAGTAATTCCTGAGTATAGAGTCAGGACTAACCCCTAACCCCTGTGCATCGCTGGGTGTGACCAAAAAAAAAAAAGGGAACTGCAATGCATTATCACTGATTTTAGGCTTAAAATAAACTTCTTTTAATAGTGCATGGATCTTTTTTTTTTATCATAAGTTGGTTAGTCTTTAGTATAAAGTTTAAGTGAATTCTTCTGTTAACTTGCATTAAGTTTGGTCATATCTGTCAGGGAGAAATATAATAGTGAGTCCAATTTTTTTTTAAAAAAAGACTGTCCCCCCACTTTCTCATGTAAATATCTGGAGGGAATCTAAAATTGGCTTAGCAGCACCTTTGTGTTTTTAGGGTTCCTTGCTCCTGTATTCCTCCTTCATTATTACTTTTATAAGCTTTTCCTCTTCAAGGTCACCTCATCCATCATTCTTTATTCTAGTCAGCAGGGGAGAAAAAGAGAAGAGATAAGAAATTGTCCCCTTCTGCCTCCTAAAATATAATCCTTGAATGTATGCTTTGTTTCCCAGAATATGGTCCATACTTAGCTACCACATTCACCTTCAAGGGATGCAGAGAGGTGGGGGAGGAGGGAAAGAGGGAAGGAGGGAGGGGAGAGAGGAGGAGAGAACATGCACTTCAAATAATTTTGGGATCTGTTAGTAAGTAGAAGTTGGAGAATGTATGCTGTAACTATAGTTTTTGTCCTTTATGCACATTTTGGCTAGGTGTTCAAAGCAGCTTTTTAAAAATACATTTGCATTATCACTTGCTTCCAAAATACACCTCACATCACAGTTACCTCTGAATTAACTTTACTGTGAAAATTGTTTTCAAACTTTTTTAGGCTTTCATCCTTTAAAGAAGTTTCTTATTATGCTACAATATATATATGTAGCCAAACTTAAAGCTCTGTACATGTACTTCAAAAATGTTCAGAACATTTTTTTATTCTCTGACCTCTGTAGTGAAAAGAATCCATAATGTATCAGTACCTAATATCTTTCTTCATGGTATAATGCCGAGGATCATCTTTTTTAGCTGCTGCTTCATATATAAATAATATCTCTTGAATAATTTATCAATTCATTTATCTTGACATCTTGCTTTTCCTGAATACAGAATTGGTTAGTGCTATTGCCTGTGTCAGCAACCTGAAGTACTTGCTTTAGTGTTTTAAGCACATTAACCATTTGGACTATGTTTCCTTACTCTTAAACATTGTTCTACTGCTTTATAAAGCTGGCTTAGCATAGAATTTAAAACAACATCTTAAATCTATTCAATGCTTGCATGATTCAGCAAAGTTTCAAGTCCGACATTAACTGGAAAGAATGATTGCCATTTAAATAAGTTTTCTCTACAGAATTTCACTCAAATAATGTTGTCACTAAGTATTGCACAGTGGGTAGGGCTTCTGCCTTGCATGCAGCCAACATGGCCGACCCGAGTTCGATTCCTCCGCCCCTCTCGGAGAGCCCGGCAAGCTACCGAGAGTATTCGATATGCCAGACACAGTAACAACAAAGTCTCCAATGGAGATGTTACTGGGCCCGCTTGAGCAAATATAAGTATAATAGCTATTTAAATGTATATTTTGCCTAATTTTTTTTAAATATCTAAGGTTTAATATTTTAAACATATAAGGTATCATTTCACTTTCTTTTAGAGAACCTTATTCCTTTTATAGTCTTCGAATCTAACTTGCTGTTTAGTACAGAAACTTTGTGCTAATTAACAATAATTATGTGTCCTTTTGCTTCAGAATAAGAAATTGAACCTACTTGTTTGTGCTTTATTCTCCCTATGCTTTTTTAAAACTAATGATGAATTTATTCCCTCTCTCCCAGTAAAAAAAAAACCCTGATAAAAAAAACACACATACAGATCACTTAAACCTAACTAGAACATTACTAATTAGTTTGTATAGTTGAAATTCTACTGTTTCCCCTCTGGCTGTTTTTCGAACTCATTGTACATTCTTTCCATGATTAGGCTTTCCTAATGTGTGAGGTAGTTTTAAGTATTGATTTGGTAGTACTAAACACTTTCCAGTGTGTTTAAATTTTCTTAGATAAATATCAGCTCTAGATTATTGTATATATACTTTAGTTGTCATTTTATGCAGAGTAAGAAATGCAGACCTTTTAGGATCTGAGTGGGCCATGTTAGTACACATTTTATAAACCCAAGCCACAAAGTAGGAAGGGAAGAAAAGAAGAAAGAACTCTTGATATTAAGACTTGTTAGCTGGAACTAGAGCAATAGTACAGGGGTTGAGGTGCTTGCCTTGCATGTGACTGACCCTGGCTTGAGTCCTTGACACCGAATATGGTCCCTTAAGAACTGCAATGAGTGATCTCTGAGCATAAAGCCAGGAGTAAGCCCTGAGCATCATTAGGGTGTGACCCAAACCCTTCCCCCACACCCAAGAAACTTATTAACCACATTTTCCTTCCGATTATGCTATTGCTTTAACGGTTCTACTGCTGTGCTTAGGGAAATAATATAGGGCTTAGGGCACATTGCTTGTGTGCTACTAACCCAAGTTTAATCCCTGGTGCCACATATCTTCCTGAGCATTGCCAGATATGGTCCTGGAGGCTTCTTAGCACTACCAGGATGGCCCTGGAGGTCACTGCACTCAGTATCAGATCCTCAGGCCCTCATTCTCAACCTCCTTTTGCCAAAAATGGTCCCCTGAACGCTACATGGGAGTCTATTAAAACTAATATTAACTATATTTGCTTTACTACTTTTTTGGGTTTACTTTGGGTGTTATTTACATTTTAGAAAACATATTACAGAATTTTTAAAAAGAGTTCTAGGTTACTTTGATACAGGAATTATATTTGCTTTCTTTATGATTTGTTTTGTTCTTTGAGTTTTTGAGCCAAATTAGGCTGTCCTCAGGACTTACTTCTGGTTCTGTGCACAGGGATCACTCCTGGAAGATTCCTAAGTCCATATGGGTTGCCAGGGATATAACCCAGGTCAGCCGTATGCAAGGCAAATGCCCTACCCAAGGCAAATGCCTTCCAACTCATAAAATGTTTTTTTGATGCAGGGCTTGAGTTGCATTTCTTTCAGTAAATTTTTTTATTTGCTACGTAAAAGCTCTTTGAATTTGGAAGATACATTCATGGAATATATAGTCTAGTGACAAAATTAATAGAATGAGTATATATGTGTTTTTCTTTGTAAATTAGAAAACAGGGTGGATTTTTGTTTGTTTTTGGCATCCCCGCTAGCAATTCTTCACCAGCTGGACTGGAGGTTCATTGCAAGGACCTGAAGATGTACTGCAGCTCAGGCTCTGTGGTTCTGGGATTCCTGGGCTAGCTCAGCAGTGCTGGATACCTCCAGCACCACACAAGAGGCCCTGTGCTACACCCATTGATGATGCTCAGAGAACCGTGAGGTGCTGGGAATTAAACTAGATCAAGCTCAGACTCGGCAGCATCCTAACTACTACACTAATTCCTGGTCCCATGTAAATAGATTTAGTATGATACTGAGAGATAATAGTGCTTCTATTTGTTCTCTTATTTAAGAATCGATTTTAAAACGATTTCTAGTTTAATTTGAAAAGCTGAATTGGGTTGAAGGACGAAACTGATATGTTTCATCATAGGTTTGAACTTTAAGTCATAGAATAGTATAAAATTCATATACTTAGTTTTGAACCATGTCAGTTTTCATTTATACTATTTTTTAGACGGGTAAGAAATAACCCTTTCTCTGTTATCTCTTTTTGATACCATAGAAATGACGTGAGAAAAACAACGGTATTTTAGATTTAGAAACAACAGCATGGTAGTTGTAGCTGAATGTTTAAAGCTTAATTGTATATGCAGTAGTTTTGTTGTAAAATATAGTAGAAATTAATAATCGTGCATTAAATTTTTTTTTATCACTTGATCACTTGATAACCCGTTACTCATCGATTTACTTGAGGAGGTGCCAGTAAAGTCTCCATTCATTCCTGTTTTAAATTTTTATTTCTTATGTCTTTTTTTTTTTGATGTTAGAAAATTATTGGTCTATGCCCAGGCCACATCTGCAGCTGCTTGACACTTCATAGGACATACCCTACCCATACTCCAAGAGTACCACACTCTTGTTATTCTAATCGTAGGCTCATTTTTTCTTCTTTTTTTTGGGGGGGGGAGGAGAGTGGGGGTCATACCTGGTGATGCCATGGGTTACTCCTGGCTCTTGCACACAGGAATTACTCCTGGCGGTGCTCAAGGAGACCATGTGGGATGCTGAGAATCAAACCTGGGTTGGCCGTGTATAGGGCAAACGCCCTACCTGCTGTGTCAAAGGCTCATTTATTAAGTCACTCTCCCCTCCTCCAGTTGAGGGCAACTATGCTTGTGCCCTTTTGTACTCTAATGAAGATGCTGCACCAGCAGACTCGAAGGGTTGCTCTGTTTGGGGAATGGCACTGGTGGCCCTTTGTGAAACAGTAATAATGCCCAAGGCCATAGTTATTCTGGGATCAGCCTTGCCCATTAAAGATATTCTAATTTTCAGTTAAAAAAAATTGATGGGTTCAAAGTAGGAGGCGACCCAACTTAGAGGGAAATGGCCCAAGGCTCAATCTTTAACAACATATTAGTGATCTCTTATAGAAGAGCTTAGTGGCCCCTGGGTGAAATACAACAATCTTCACCACACTCTTTCCTCTAAGGATACTTCTTTGTAGCATTTTTAGCGGTTTTGCATAACAAACAATATAAAATATTATTTTGGTTCTGCTTTGGGGCAGGGATTGCGATTCAGGATGAAAACATTTGAAATATGGTGGTGGGAAGATGTTTGAATATTAAATATAATAAAATATTGTGAGCTACTTTATAAAATAAAAACAAAATTTAAAAAAGAAAGAAAATTATCGTTCAAAAGTAACAGTCTTCTGTATTTATGTAACCCATTATCTATGCTTATCTTATCTCTAATAATACTATTTAAATTTAATAAATATTTGAATTATCCACACAGATCATTATAAACCTGCCATTTCCCATCGAGATTTAAACAGCAGAAATGTCCTGGTGAAAAATGATGGGACCTGTGTGATCAGTGACTTTGGGTTGTCCATGAGGCTGACTGGAAATAGATTGGTGCGCCCAGGGGAAGAAGACAATGCAGCCATAAGTGAGGTAAGTTTATGCAAAAGATTAATCCTGACAAGCCTAGAGAGATGAATGAATCCACTTTACTATTCCGGAAAATTATCTTTATATGCTGTCAATTTAAATATATTTGGAATTGCAAAATTAAGACATAAAGACGATATCTTATGAAGTTCATCATACATTATGGAAATCACTTTTTTTCCTTCACATTTTGGCAAGCAATAAGAAGTTCATAGGAATTGATTTTTTTTTTCAGTTTTTGGGTCACACCCAGTTATGCTCAGGGGGTCAACTCCTGGCTCTGCACTCAGGAATTACTCCTGGCTGTGCTCTGGGGACCATATGGGATACTAGGAATCGAATCCCAGGTCAGCTGCATGCAAGGCAAGCTACACACTGTACTATCTTTTCAGCCCCTAGTATGATATTCAAATCAAAGGTAGTTATCAAAGTTGAAATGAAGTAATCACCATCTGATAATTGTTAAAATATGAAATATCTCCTTCTTGACTTCTTTCTTTGCATTCATATATGAATGTCTCTCTTTACATATGTATGTACTTACTGACTTTTCAAAATATGAAATGGCATTCATATTTTCAGGTTTTCTAATTGTGTCTTAAAAATTAATATTTATTTTGATGTTTGGGGCTACATCCACTTGTGCTCAGGTTCTGTACTTAGGGATCACTCCTGACTGGGTTTGAGGGACATTGTGAGGTGCTGGAAATCAAATTCTGGTCTGCTGCTTGCAAGGCAAGCACCCTTCCCACTGTAGTATATCTCTGGCTCCTTTATGTTTTTCGGTTTTGTTTTGGGGGCCAGTGTGTACACCAGTGTGTACTCAGGTATGGCCTTACTCTAGGCTTACTCCTGGCTCTGCACTCAGGGATTACTCGTGTGAGGTTTGGAAAATCATATGGAATACGAGGGTTGTAACCCAGATTGATCCTGTGTAAGACAAGAGCCCTACCTGCTGTATTATCAGACTGACTTCTGTTTATTTTTGTAGTATGGTATACCTCATTTCTTTTTTTATTTTTTTCTTTCATTTTGGTTTTTGAACCACACCCATCAGAGCTTAGGTGTTACTCCTGGCTCTGCACTCAGGAATTACTCCTGGTGGTACTCGAGGAAACATAGGATCCAGGAATCAAACCTGGGTGTATTGTGTTCAGGCCAAGCACCCTACCCACTGTACTATCTCTCTGGCCCCTATCTTTCTTTCTTTCTTTTTTTGATACTTACTCTGGGGCTGGAGCGATAGCACAGCAGGTAGGGCGTTTGCCTTGCATGCAGCTGACCTGGGTTCGATTTCCAGCATCCATGGTCCCCTGAGCATGGCCAGGGGTAATTCCTCAGTGCAGAGCCAGGAGTAACCCCTGTGTGTTGCCAAGTGTGACCCCAAAAAAGCAACAAAAAAAACTGTCTTTTTTTTGCTTTTTGGGTCACACCCAATGATGCACAGGGATTACTCCTGGTCATGAACTCAGGAATTACTCCTGGCAGTGCTCAGGGGACAATACAGAATGCTGGGAATCGAACCCGGGTCAGACACATGCAAGGCAGATACCCTACCCACTGTGCTGTTGCTCCAGCCTCCCTATTTTTCTTTTTTTTCTTTCTTTTTTTCTTTTTTCTTTTTTGCAGTGCAGGATCACTGAGCCACATCCTTGGCTTAAATCATTCTTGATTAGTGAATAGTATTCAATAGGACAGATTGATTTATCATTGTTTAACTGTTTAAAAAAGGTATTTTAAAAATTCAGTGTAGAAATTTTCAGTTACATGCTTACGGTCAAATAAACAGATTGATATGAAATTTATATGTAATTTTGATTTATTGTATGCCTTTCTAAATATGCTGGATTATTTTTGAAAATGATTTTTCTGTACTTTTGAAAGGTTGGCACAATCAGATATATGGCACCAGAAGTTCTAGAGGGAGCTGTGAACCTAAGGGACTGTGAATCAGCTTTGAAACAAGTTGACATGTATGCGCTTGGGCTTATCTATTGGGAGATATTTATGAGATGCACAGATCTCTTTCCAGGTAAGAGAACTGCTATTAAAATTTGATGTATGTTTTGGAGTGAAGTGGTTATCTCCCTTCTCCTCTGCCTTTGTTAAACAGATCACTTAGCTTTTGTTTGCATAAACCTTTAGTTCATTGCCACCTAGTGTTCAGTAACATTTTAACAAAAGACCATCAATCAGAAGAAAAAATTGTTTTAAAAGAATTTAATTTTGCTCTGAGTATAACATAAGTTGTTTATATTAATTTATTTCACTGTGTAGTTTGCTCTCTAGTTTCTTTAACTTGCATCATTTTTCTTATATACCATACCTCTGACTATTTTACAGGTTATTGTTAAATTGTTTACGATTAATCCAAAGGAATTAGAAGCAACGAATTATCCATTATGAATTCTCTCATTCTCTCTCTCTCTCTCCCACACTTAAGTCCTCCCTTCTCTCTCTGTTTTCTTCTTTCCCATTTCCTATTCTCCCTCCTTGCCTGCGTATCAGTGAAAGAACACTCATTTTAATGTGAATGCTTATTGAAGCTTATTTGAAATAGTTAAATTAGTTTCTTTTTTTTTATTCTATTGTCCTAGGAAAATGTAGACTAACAACCAGTCTATGTATTGCATTCTTCTAGATGGTGTGCAAAATGATATGATAGGAAGCATTAAACAAGTGTATGAAATGGCACTATTCAATAAAAACCATGGTGAAGTTGAATACTTTTGTTTCATAAACATTAAGCTTTTGGGACAATGGAGATAGCTCAAAGTACTGGAATGCATCACTTGCCGTGTACAAGTCCCCAGATTTGAGTCTCAATACTCTCTGTATCCCTCTCCCCCTAGACCTTCAGGTACAACTTTAGTTGCCACCAGCACTACTTGACCTGAGTTGTACTGCTTTGTCAGGGATGTGCACTAGAATGTCAAGGTTCAATATTTCTGGGATTAACCCTAAGCCTTCATTGGTCACCCTCCAGAACTCATGACTGCTTCTCCCAGAAGGGGGCATAAAATGACGACCCCCATAACCATGCCACCAGAGGTGAGAGCCCTCCCCGCCCCAAGGGACCCAACCCCAGCAGCTGACCTCCACTACCAACCAAGGCACGCTCCAAGCCACTTTCTACATGATCGGGCCAGGCCTCACATATGAGTGAACATATTCCTGGACACATCATAAGACACTCGCTACCCATTTTCCATAATTACCATACCACCATATTTGATGGGGTTTAGGCAGTAGGCAACAAATCCTAGAGGGAAATATGTGTGTGTGTGTATATCTATGTATACATACATACATACATATATATATATATATATATACACACATATATATATGCTTCTCACAGAGCCCAGAAAGCTACTGAGAGTCTCCCACCCGCACAGCAGAGCGTGGCAAGTTACCCATGGCATATGGATGTGCCAAAAAAAAAAATAACAATAACGGGGTCTCATTCCCCTGACCCTGAAAGAGCCTCCAATACGGCAGCATTGGGAAAAATGAGTAAGGAGAGGCTGCTAAAATCTCAGGGCTGGGACAAATGGAGACATTACTGGCACCTGCTCAAGTAAATGGATGAACAACAGGATGACAGTGATACTGTGACAGTGACCTTAAACCCTTAGAACCCCTGCGAAAGTCCACTCAAGCATTTAATAACAATTTATGTTTAAAAGCATTTAATAGCAATTTATGTTTAATTTATGAAATAAATTTACAATATCTAATGTATCTTCCAGTTAATTGAAAATACAGTGTAGTTAAGTCAGAATTTTTATCTTATCCCCCTTTTTAAAAAAATATCTATGGTAACAGTGTCACAGTATTAAATATGAAAGCTTTTGGAATTTTAAAATTTTTATTTCTGTTTATTGGATTCTGATCAGTTTTTTTAGATATACTAATTCAGAATTCTTTTCAGAAGTATGTTTGAGTATGATTTTCATTTTGTGGGGAAGGCAATTTTGTTCACATCCAGCTCTGCTCAAGGCTCTTTGCTTAGGGACTATATGTAGTGTCAGGACAAACCTGGGTTTACCATGTGCAAGGCAAGGAATTTATTCCTTGTACTGTTGCTGTGTTTCCTTGTCTCTGATTCTTATGTCAGTGTTGGTATATTGCCATCAGCAACATTTTTATATAAATATTCAAAGAACTCACATTTGGCCTGATAAGTTATCGAGAACAATATCAGATCTTGAAGGGTAAGGCAATTCAATATTACTTGTAATTATAAAATTAATTTCAATAAAAATAAGGTTTATGTGAAGAAAAGAGAAGGAAGATATTATTATTTAGTGGATATTTCACCTTGTTAAAAAATTTTCATGAAGTGGGCGCTAGTGATGGTTTTGCAATATTGTATAGAGCCAGAAGTAGCCCTGAGCAGGGTCAAGTGTGGCTCCCACAAAACAAAACAAAACAGGGCAAAGTAGGTAATCGTTGATAAAAAATTAAGTACCTGCTTAAATCAAAGGTGTATAATGTTCAGCCACAGGCCACAGAAGGTCCATGAAAGCATATTGTCTGACTTTGGAACACGAGGGACAGACATGGATGCTTCTCATGGGCCATCTGTGGCACATTTGATAGTAATGTCTTATGAGTGTTACTATAAATATCCAGTGGTCCTTTGCAGGAAAAGGTTTCCCATCTTTTAACTTTAACGTTTAGAGTATTAAACTATGTGTCAGAGAGATAGTATAGTGTGTAGGGTGCTTGCCTTCCATGTGGCTGACCTGGGTTTGAATCCCAGCATTCCATAAGGTCCCCTGAATACCACCAGGAGTAATTCCTGAGAGCAAAGTCAGGAACAACAGCTGAGCATCTCCAGGTATGGCCCAAGCCCTCCCCCCCCCGCCCCCACACACACACACTTCTGGCTTGTTCTAACCATTGACCAGTCTTTTTTCCCCTGGCATGAATATTATTCTTTAAATATATATATAAATATATATATATATATATAAATATATATGTAAAATATGAAAGAACTGGCAGAGGAACCCAGGCATGTGGGTCCCGGGGCTGAGGTCTCCAAACCTACTCGGATTGGGACTGGGCCTTCTCCACCCAGATCCCCCATCTTCCAGTAGGTAGGTGTCACACCAACCAGCTGCTGACAGCGCCAGGTTGGTCCCATCAATGGCCAAGACGCAGAGACTATAAAACCCAGCTCCCGGAAGCGCACGGCCGCGTGACATCTTATTATCTTTCCTTTGGAGAACCTGGCAGGCTGCAAAAAGTATCCTGCCCACATAGCAGAGTCTGGCAAACTTCCCGTGTCATACTCAATATGCCAAATACCAGTAACAATGATGAGTCTCATCCTCCTAATCCTGAAAAAGCATTGAAATGGCTCTTTTAAAATCTCAGGGCTAGGTAGAAGGAGACGTTACTGGTGCCTTCTCGGGACAATCGACGAATAACAGGGTGATCGTGATCGTGATTGTGATATGTAAAATATATATTTTATATACCACAAATGAATGCAGTCAGTCTGTATCTGTTCCTTTTCTTATGACTCATTTCACTCAGCATGGTACTCTCTATGTTCATTCATTTATAGACAAATTTCATGACTTCATTTTTTCTGACAGCTGCATAGTAGTCCGTTGTGTAGATGTGCCATGGTTTCTTTATCCATTCATCTGTTCTCGGACACTCAGGCACTCAGGAATTCCAAATCCTGGCTATGGTGAATAGTGCTGTAATGAACACAGTAGTACAGATGATGTTTCTGCTGTGTTTTTGGGCACCCAAGGTATATTCCCAGAAATGGTATTGCTGGGCCAAATGGGAGCTTAATTTCTAGTTTTTGAGAAACATCCATATTGTTTTTCAAAAAGGCTTAACCACTCGACATTCCCACTAACAGTGAAGGAGCGTCTCTCTCTCTCCCCACATCCACACCAACACCAGTTACTTTTGTTTTTGGATGTGTGCCAGTCTCTGTGGTGTGAGATGATATGTCATTGTTGTGTTGATCTGCATCTCCCTGATGATTAATGATGAAGAACCTTTTTTTTTTTTTTTTTTTTTTTTTGCTTTTTGGGTCATACCCAATGATGCACAGGAGTTACTCCTGGTTCATGCACTCAGTAATTACTCCAGGCAGTGCTCGGGGGACCATATGGGATGCTGGATGCTGGGAATCGAACCTAGGTTGGCTGTGTGCAAGGCAAACGCCCTACCCGCTGTGCTATTGCTCCAGCCCCCAAAGGTAAAGGCCCTCCCGTTGATCGTCAATTTGCTCGAGCGGGCCCAGTAACGTCTCCATTGGAGACTTTGTTGTTACTGTGTCTGGCATATCGAATACTCTCGGTAGCTTGCCGGGCTCTCCGAGAGGGGCGGAGGAATCGAACTCGGGTCGGCCATGTTGGCCGCTTGTAAGGGGAATGCCCTACCTGCTGTGCTATCGCTCCAGCCCCCAAAGAGCATTTTTTCATGTGCCTTTTGGCCATTTGAATTTCTTCTTTGAGAAAATTTCTGTTCATTTCATTGCCCAATTTTCTGATGGGATTGGATGTTTTCTTCATGTAGAGTTCAACCAGTGACTTGTATGTCCTTCATATTAACCCTTTATCAGAAGGGTATTGGGTGAATATCCTTATCCATTTCATTGGCTGTCTGTGTATCCTGGCCACTGTTTTTTTTCTTTTTTTTTTCTTTTTTAAATTTATTTATTGAATCACCTTGAGAGCAGTTACGAAGCTTTTGCGTTTAAGTATCAGTCATGCAATGATGAAATTCCTCGTCCCTTCACCAGTGCACATTTACCACCACCAAAAACCTCAGTTTACCCCCCCATCCCACACCCTCCCCCTAACTGTGTGGCAGATGATTTCCACATTACTCCCTCTCTCTACCTTGATTACATTCAATATTTCGACACCAGACCACCATTATTATTTGGAATTTTACCCCAAAACTTAGATCTGCCGAGAAGGCAACATTAGACAGGTTTTTTTCTTTCATTTTCTTTTTTTTTATTTTTGGGTCACACTTGGTGATGCACAGGGGTTACTCCTGGCTCTGCACTCAGAAATTCCCCCTGGCAGTGCTCAGGGGACCATATGGGATGCTGGGAATCAAACACAGGTCAGCAGCATGCAAGGAAAACGCCCTACCTGCTGTGCTATTGCTCCAGCCCAGACAATTTGTTTTCGATTGCTGATTATGAGTACCATATAATATCACGTGGGCAGAATTTTGGAATTCTGAAATTTTGGTAATTAAATCTGGAGGGATTTCTGCCAAAAACTGCTGGGTTTGGAGATTTGTTTCTGAGTCTCTGGGATCATGGCTTAAGCAGCTTGATCAGTAGCCTGAGGGCCCATTCGTGGAAAGGCAACTCCAGGTCTCATTGGGGCAGGGGAGGAAAAGGCTGGCTCCAACCCCATCACATGAGGCCCCATGTGTCTTGTCACTGTGGGCCCCTACCTGACTGTCTATTGGCCTCTGGAAGATGGCAGACCCTGGGCTGCCAGGGGGAACAGGAAGTGGTCACTGTTTGTTTTGAGGTATAGAAGCTTCATAGTTTAAGATAGCCCCATTTGCTAATCTTTGCTTCTACTTGCTTGGTCAGTGAAGTTTCATCTTTGAAGATACTGTTAGCTTCAGTGTCGTGGAGGGTTTTGCCAACCTTTTCTTCAATGTACATTATGGGATTCTGGTCTGATGTTGAGGTCTTTAATCCGTTTTGATCTAACTTTTGTGCATGGTGTTAGGTAGAGGTCTCAGCTCGATTTTTTGCACATAGCTGTCCAGTTTTGCCAGCACCATTTGTTAAAGATTTTCCTTGCTCCACTTTATATTTCTTGCTGCCTTATCGAAGATTAGATGATCAGATATTTGAGGATGTGTGTAAGGATATTTAACTCTATTCCACTGGTCTGCGGATCTGTCTTTATTGCAATGCCATGCTGTTTTAATTACAGTTTGAGGGTGGGGAATGTTATACCTCCCATTTTTTTTTTCCCAAGAATTGCTTTAGCTGTTTGTGAGGGCTTATTGTAGAACCTGTTAATTCCTTATCCTGTGTTCTGTTTGTCGTTTAGGAGAGGTGTGTGTGTCGGGTGGAGGGGGCGGGGGATCCTCTACTTTTTCTATGTTCTTTTTTTTAAATTTTGATTCAACATTAGTTTTCTAATTGTTGGATCCAGAAGTTTGTGGTGCAGCTCCTTGAGTTTAACTTGGTAACATTTTGTAAAAAATCAAGAGCGTCATCAGAAGCAGCTGATTCTGCATATTGTTATGAATAAGGTGATTAAGCAGTAATAGAAAAGTTAACAACACTACAAAATTCTTGATGTAGGTACTGCTTGTTAAGAGGAATTTAAAAATATGTATTGATTTTTCTGCAGACACTTTTATTGTCATAAAAATTTTTGTGACATTTGATACACTCTGGCTGGACTAAAATGAGACCAGTGATATAATGAAACATGATGAGAATACATCCACTTAATTTTCTTTTCAAATATGTTTGTTTTACAGGATCCTCAACTTTCTCCTAATATTTGCAATATTACATTATTGTATGGGATGAGTTGATACATTCTTTCACATGTAAATTATAGCTTATGATAATTTTTCTCCTCAAATTTAGTAATACATATTTTGTCCTATATATAATAATCTCCCCAAGTTTAGTAAGACTAGAAGCCATTTAGAAGTAGTTGTACATCATTGAAATTTTTTATTTTAATTTATTAATATTTACTCTATCAAAGAGTATTCTAAATAAAGTTATTATTAATAATGCATTTAACACAAACAATATTTTTTATTTCCTAATGTACTTGAAATTAAAAATTTAAATGACAACTTTTTTCTTTATCAATGTCAGAAATACTTCTGTTATTCTATAATTTTTTGATAATTGAAATTTTACTTTTTTTCTTTTATGAACACAGGTGAATCTGTACCAGAATACCAGATGGCTTTTCAGACAGAAGTTGGAAACCATCCCACTTTTGAAGATATGCAGGTTCTGGTATCTAGGGAAAAACAGAGACCCAAATTCCCAGAAGCATGGAAAGAAAATAGCCTGGTAAGAAAAAGTTAAATTATTCAAGAGATGGCTGTGACTGAATATGTTTTAATATTTTTGAAGTAAAAATAGAATGTTAATAATATTAATAGTTTTATTTTAAGAGTTTTCTGCCAAAAATCCAATTTGATCTTTTTGATGTACATTTAATTTTTCTTTCTCCTTGTAGAAAATGTTCTTTTTTTGGTTCAGTTTTTTTCTTTAAGAGTTAAGTACTATTTAGGGAGACTAACTGATGTCTGAAGTTTGCCAGATTTGGATAACAGCTGGAATAATTAGTATGTTAATATTTTAAACTTTATTAAAATTTAATCTTTTTTCTTGAGAGTGATGCCAAAAATGTTATTTAGTTTAAACTTTTATTTTCTATGGCTAGACCTGAAAGAAACCAAGGTGTAACCTCTAAATTCTGCTTATTAAAAATGCAGTTCACAACATTTATATATCTTCAGTGATTCTTGCCATTTGCATAAATTGTTTTTTTAACACTGAAAAGATCTTACAAACATTCTCTCTCACCCTCTCTTTCTCCATCTTTCACATGCAGTTTCTTTTATGAGTAGAATTATTTCATTATCCGCTCTCATTTTTTAAGTTTATTTTTAAAACTTATAAACATGTTTTCCTTTTTATTCACTTATTTTTAATTTTTGGAATGTTATTTTAGTTTCAGTAACATGGTTAGAAAAGTGTTTAAGTTCATAGTACTGATATACAAAGTTACTTAACACCACCACCACTGAAGTGCCTACCCATGACCCTGCACCACTGTTCTCTGGATAGTTTTTTATGTCAGTACCTATAGAAGTGTTTTTTTCTCATTTTGTCAATTAATCAGTGAAGGATATAATTTTTTTATAGTTTAGTTAGTTGAATAGTGTTAAAGTTTAGAGTATCAGTACATAAAATTACTACTAGCAGTGACAGGGACGAATGGAGACATTGCTGGTGCCCACTGGGATGGGACAGGATGACAGTGCTACAGTGCTACTGCACTCAAAAATGTCCACAGTTGGGAGGGTGGGGAAGAAGTGGACTAGGACATTGTGTCCAGAAATGTGCACTGAGTGTTGGAACATTGTATGGCTGAAAATCAATCATGAACAACTTTATAACTGTGTATTTCATGGTGATTCAGTTTTTTTAAATAGAAAGAAAACAACACAACTTTTCACTAGAGGTGACATAGGGACAGTGGTAGATGTCTATATTTTCTCTTATAAATGATATTATTTTGCATTTCTTTCTAAAACAGTTTTTAGAATAACTTAAGTTATAACTATTCTAGGTATGTGAAATGAAATTTAAAGGTCATAAAACATAAATGGAAGGACTGGAAAGATTCAAGATCAAGGGTACATGACAGGCACCTGAGTTTGATCCCTGGTATTTAATACCTGATTCAGCACTACCTGGCATAGCTTCAAAGGTCCCCAAGCATACTGAGTGTGACTTTGTATCACAGAGTTCAAGCAGCACTACATCACTGGGTCCTAGTAAATAAACATCTGTCCTGATGACCCAGTATCCTGGGATTGGCCCACAGACCCCGAGTACTGCTTGTGAGCCCTCCACCTGCCAACCCCTCCACAAATACCTATAAGTGGAAAAGGAAGAGACTCCCTACTCTTATGTCCACTTTTCAAACATAGATCCCATTAACTGTGTTCTGAGGTCTTTTATTTCTAATTTTCTTTTCTAGGGACACTTTGGTTACTTTAGCTGCTATTCTTATTTCTTGAATTCATTCTCACTCTAGGTATTTTGTAATATTCTGTTATTAAATTTGTTTTGTATAAAGTTTGATATATAATTTAAATTTAATATTTTTAAAGCTTGTATAATTAAGATTATTTAAGCATCAACTGCATAATAGAGTATTGCACTTGAACAAGGAAGTAAAATCCTACAGGAAGAAAATTTTTTAAATTTTTATGAAATGTTTTATTTTACTTACTTAATCACCATGAATTACAAAGTTACTAAGTTATTCATGATTGAGTTTCACGTATACAATGTTCCACACCAGTCCTTTCACTAGTGTCCATTTCCCTTTCACCAATGTCCCCAGGTCCCACAGTCTGCCTCTATGACAAGTGACAGGCTCTCTTTTTCTTTTTTTCCTTTTGGGCACTGTGGTTTACAAGACTGTCACTGACAGGGTTTCATGCATATCACTTTCTAAAGTAAGAATTTTTTGAAAGGCACTATTCAGTTTATTTTATTTATTTTAAATCATCTTTTCCTTTATTTTTAGATTCTACTTAGTAGAGTATTTTTCAGAAACTCATTATTCTTTCTTATAAATAATTGTTTCCTTAATGAAAATTTTATTTAAGTAATGTGTTGGTATGTGCATGGGTAGAAAATGTTACAACCTCTTGACATTCAAAAATGTTTCTCTTTCATTGGTTTCAAGATCAAAATCATTTTCCTCACTGTTTTGAAACCACTTCTCACGTTGTCTCCTAGCATCCATAGATGTTAATGAGAATTTTCAGAGCCAGCCAGTCTGATTACATTGCTTTGTTGTTGTTGCTTTATCCTCCCTTCTCCCACAAAACTATAAGCTTATGCCTTTTATTGTTGGAATTTTTATATTTCCACTGGTTGTTTATAATCATGGTCTTTTCACACACTTTGCTTTGCACTGAACAGACTTTTGGGGTGAAACTTCAGAAAAGCTGTATTAAAGGAATTGCTTACAGTTATTCTTCTTTTTTGTTTTTTTCTTATAGATTTTAGGCTATCTAAAAGGTTTCAATTCTTTTTCACTTATTCTTTCCCTTTTTTGGGTAGATTGTTCTTTGATTTAATTAAATTTATCTTTCAAGCACTCATTTAGTTTTTCATCACTATCTCTTCATTAAATGTTTATTTTTTATAGTTTATATATATATGGAAATCCTTATTGTTTGATTTTATATATATCAGATATTCTTATTCTGTTTGTTTTTTTAGGCCATATCTTGTGGTTTTCAGGGCTTACTCCTGGCTCGTTACTCAGGGATCTCCTAGCAGTGCTCAGGGAATCAGATGGAGTGCCAGGGATTAAAGGGAGTTTAAGGCAGGTGCATGACCCACTCTACTATCTCTCCAGCCCCCTATAGCAATAGCAATATATTCTTATTTTATAAATGTAATAAATTTTATTATTTTGTAAGGTATCATAGAATTTTTGACACCTTATAGAAATAGTTGATTATAGTTGAAAATAAAAATCAAGACCTGGCACCTGAGGAAAGAAATAAAAGAGCTAAGTGCACATTCTACATACAGAGGACCTGAGTTCCACTCCATGATTCTCCAAGCTCCTCTGGTTATAGCCCTGGTGACCCCTCAACACAGCAGGATATAGCCCTGATGGTACCTGGTGTAGCAGCACTACTTTGCAGAGTGGTGACCTACAGGCCTATACGGCGAACTGAATGTCACCTTGCCTCCCTGATTACTTTGTGGGATACTAAAATTAAGAGGAAAGAAGAGACTCAAGCAGTAGAGCACATGCCTAGTGTGTTCAAAACCTTGTTCCATCTCCATCTGGTATGATTCTAACACCTGCCTCCCAGCATCACTATTCATAACACTGCCCCTAAGTACCACTAGGCCTAAGATAACAAGGGACAAATAATACTGGGAATGACCCCTGTTTGGATGATGATGATGATGATGATGATGATGATGATGATGATAGACCAGAGCAATGGTACATGTATAGGATGCTTACCTTGCATGTGACAGACCTGGGTTTGATCCCTGGCACCCCATATGGTTCCTAAAGTCCCTTTAAGAGTGATCCCTGAGTTCAGAGCAAAGAATAAGTCCTGAGCACAGTAAAGTGGGGCTCAAGAAACCAAAAAATAGTTTCACTAAACAATTTTACTATATATTTTCATATTTTAATTTTATATGGTCCTGTAGGATTAGTACATTTTCATACTGTATCCTACTGATATGGTATAATGGTATGTCAGAGAAAGACTAGAAATAATATGTTTCCATAAAGATATAGATTGAATATTTTCTTTGGTCACTTTTGTGTCAGTAGATTATCTTCAAGGGAGGCTTCTACTTGAAATTAATTTGAAATCTTCTAGTATGAGGTAATTGAAGGCATGATACTTGTGCCCTAGATTGCCACTACACTGCAGTTCTGGGAATTGGAACAGACCTATAAGAGGTCCCTGACAGCAGGTGAGAGGCAGAATCCTTTATAGGGAGTTATTAGACCTATGAGCCTCACAGTCCAACATCACTTTAGGAAAAATCTCTGAAATTTTATTTTTTAAAATACAACTTCATCTTCCTTAAGCTGTTCTACTTCACCAAAGCAAGTAAGACTCATTTTAAAATATCTTTTGGCAGCCCTACCATTATAGCATATGCATCATAAGCAAATATACCTGAAAATGTTTTCTCCCAATTTAGACTAGGTTGCTCAGTAAGGGATAAGTAATGCTTGGTTTGTTTCCAATAAACCCATTTAAATCTAATATGCTGCATTTACTAGAACTGCTTATCTGCAGTGACAGTCCAATAGTAGATTTAGATAGCAGCTGTACAGAACATAAAATGAGAAACACAGCAGTCTAAAGGAACTTTTGCTTCATAGTTCATTGAAATATTTTTAAATTATTAACTTAATCTTTCAAATAAAATGAATATAAATAATTGGTTTTAAAAACTTTCAGGGGCCCCAACATCAATTCTTCACTATAGATGGAAAGAATATTTTTCCAGATAAAGTTGAAAGTATTGAAAATAGTCTAAGTTATCTCTTAGTAGTGGACTCATGAAGATTTTCTTTTTTTTTCCCCTCTACTTGAAGACTTGACAGGAGATAGTGAGAGGAAGAGGTGAGGGAAGGGAGGGAGAGAACCAGCACAGGGATTAAAGTGCTTGTCCTGTATCCCACCCACTTTACCTTAAATTCCCAGTATCACATATGGTCTCCTGAGCACCTCCACGATTAAGCTTTAAGCATCATTTCAGGGTGACCC